AGATCCTTTGTTTTACAGATAGCGGTATAAATCCGACCAATTCTTTTGAAAAGTAATAATTCGATAGTAAATAATATTAGCTATAAACGTCTTTACCTTTGGCCCAGGAATCCTACTCCTGAAAATATTTCCTGAAGAAAGGATTCAAAAGACAGAAAAAAAGTATATGTAATTACAGGGAAAAAACAGAAATAATAAAAATATTTTTCAAGCTGTCAAATACATTATGCTCTATCATGTTGATGGCACATTGCGTGGTTACAAAAATGAGTCTCAATACCATGGAACAGCACAGAGAATATGCCACACATGATGCTAAGTGATGTAAGAGTGTGACATGAAGCAGTGTTCTAGCTGAAAACACATGTGTTTGATAAAGCTGGCAGGAAACTCGAGACGTGTGAGTTTGGTGAAGGAGGTGAACCTCCTTCTTTCAGAAGTCCCATTAATGTGGAGTGTTTAGACAGTACTTGTTTGAATGTTCTTTGCAATGGCAGCCTGTGATAGGTACAGGAGGTACCAGAGATGCATGAAACATAGGGGAAAAGAGTAAATGCATGAAGGATAATTTAAAACTCAGCCAGTGAGTGGCATGGTGGTTAAGATACTGGACTCTCATATGGCGAACAGTGGTTCGAGTCCCAGATCTGGCAGTTTGCTTTCTTACTTTCTCTTTCTGTGTCTCTCTCTCTGATTAAATTTTAAAAAAGAAAAAAACATACTAACACATAAAACTAAATAATTCTAAAACCAAAAACCAACATGTAACACATCTAGCAAACAGAAATTGAAATGCCAGAATTTAGTGGAGCCTTTAAGGGATATGAGTAATGAGGGAAGTGCTGAAGAACATATTAGCAGGTCAGGCTCTAACAAGATCCTCCCAAGAAAACTTAAAAACCAGGATGCTTGTGAATTGTTCTCCTCTGTGACCCTCCTCTGTGCTCACAAAGCTGTGATGATAGCCCCAAAGGAGGGAGGAACACGTATCAGTATGCACAGTTCATTGGAGTTCACCAGCTCTGTACGCGTGTGTAGAAAAGGGAGGAAGTCTGGTCAAACTGAATGAGTCACACTTAATACATCCTCCACCCTGTTCTCCTCCTTTCCCAAGGCCACCTCACCTCTGGGTCTGTGTGCTTGACCGGTCTGAGGAAAGAACTACAGCAGGACTGGGTGGGGTAAGGTCAGATTACTAGGACTGACCTCAACAACCAGTGTGTGGGTCCAGAGAAAGCAGTGGTCAGGGCAATGGCGATGATCTCTATCACATCCTGTTTCGGGAACTTTCTCCTTCCTCTGTTCCCACTGTTATAAATGTCATGGTTCCTTCAACATCCCAGTCTTCGAAATAGCTCGTGGCTTTCGAGCAGAGCGAGGAGCAAAGGGCTGTGTTGTTCTGTTCCCTTTTCATAAAGTGCCCTGAGAGCCCCAGTGGCATGGTGGTTAAGGCGTGGATCCCACATGACTGTCTGCACTTACACTCGGACAAGGCCAGTGCATGAACACACTCAAAATCTTGAAAGGAGAATAGAGGAGAAGGTATTGCAGCATGGCCATCTGCCCTGGGAAGTGCTTCCTCTCTCTCTCCTCTCTCTCTCTTTCTGTTGGGAGTATAGATGCTCTATAGCAAATTTTAAAGAAAGAAAAAAAGAAAAATAAAATGCGCTCTGGGGCCAGCCAATGTGGCATGGTGGTTGGAGCAGCTGGATTCTACATGGCCAACTGAGTCCTGGACCTGTGACTTGAAGGACATGCAGGACATGTGTCCATGGCTTTCCAAAATCCCCAAAGGAGGGAGAGATGGAGGAGAAGGGATTGTAGCATGACCATGCCTCATTGGAGGATGCTGTCCCATTTTCTCTCTCTTTCTGTCTCTTTCCAGCAAGCACATGTGCTCTCTGGCAAAATTGAAGGGAAAAAAAAGTATTCTACAGATGCAAAGTGCAGTTATTTTTGCTCCCGATAAACAATGAGTGTCAGGGTGAGGTTAGGTGGCAATCTTTCAGGTATACATGTTTCCTTCTCAAGACAGAACATCCTGTTCCTATCGTGGAGGTATGGGGAGTATGAGGGGACAGTTGGTGGAAGTAAACATCCAGGCTTATATGCAGGATCCCAAGGGATGACACTTTCTTTCCTTCAGCATTATTAGGATCATTTTGAGTGGCCCAGTGATACACCCTTAAGCAGTTGTCACCTGGACTGAGTCTACTGCTCAGTCAACTGGCTGAGCCTCCCAGATGATCCCTTATTAGTCCTCCTTAAAAAACTGGGACCAGCAGATGATGTAATGGCTATGTCGTTGGACTCCCATGTAGTCAACTGTGGTTTGAGTCCCGGACTCAGTGGCTTAAACTCACGCCAGGCATGTGTGCATGCGTGCCCATGATCCTGAGAGGAGAATGGAGGAAAAGGGATTGTGGTGTGACCATACCCCCCTTCTGCCTATCTCTGTCTTTCTGGTGAATACACACACCCTGTAGCAAAAAAAAAAAAAAAAAAAAACCTCTAAAAAAAAGAGGTTCCTTTTGCACCAGGAATCACTCTTGTATTTCAGGCACCAGGATAAACACTGGAGGCTGTAATTACAGTTCAGGGCCTTAGGGGGTCCAGTCTTAGAAAAGTAAGAGCAGGTACCTTTCATTTTCATATAGAGATCTCTGAGGCACTGTCACTTTTCAGGTGTTCTCTGAAGTTAGGACAGGAGGAAGGTAAGGGGGCAATGATTGCCCTCACTTCGCAGATACCTGGAAAAGCTGGCTGATTTGCTTGAGGCTTCAACAGCTTTTCTCTAATTCTCCACCACTCTTCTTTTCCCAAGTCCATCTTCAGCACCCACACCCTCACACTCAGCAAATATTAGGCTAGTGTGGAATAACAGCAAACACCAGCCACCCAGTCATTCAGACAGCAATGGGGAAAGCCTGCAGTGAAGACAGCAGTTGGGAGAACAGAAGCACTATTTTCTAAGTAACTACATGTCTATCATTACTCTGTGTTTTACACATGGATCCATTATTTCAGAGGTTCCCTTTCCTGTGCGACCTGAAATCGTAACATATTTCCCCACCAAATAAATCATTTATAGGTAAGAAATGTGTGTTTTGCAACCACTGGGTTGTTTTAGTGTTATGCATGCCCAGTGCAAATGTATCTGGTGCATGTTTGGTCTAAGGATATCAGACCATATAGCATCCTAAGGGAAGCTGGTTGCATGTTGCCATAGCAACTGGGCCAGCCTCAGAGGGAAGGGCAGAGTTCTTCAGATTCATCTACTGCTTCTGCAGATTGACTTCCTCTCAACAGGATCATGTTTCCCAATCATTGACGCTGAAACTGTTATTTTCACTTAAAAAAATGCTATCTCAAGTTGGTCTATTTGGATCTTTTCCTGCTGCTATTTAATGACCTTCTATCTCTGGCAGGTGGGAGTTAGTAAGGGGATCCTCTGGAACTTTCATTCACGCATTCACTCATCTGGTTGGGACCTGTGCCAGTGGACTTGATGGTAATTACACTTTGATGGCTGGAACATGACCTGTGAAATGCGTTGCTGGTCTTACTTTAACTCCTCACGGACAGAAATTCATCTCTCTCAGATTCCAACCATAAGCTCTGTTTTCAGACCCTGGGAAGAAGTCAGAGGTTTGCATGGCTTCTCCTAGGGGTAAACTGCAGGGCCTCTTCCCCGAGAATTACGCTTTGCTTTTCTAGGCCACCGATATCATTGCAATTAGTTCAAAATACCCTGCAAGATGTGTGTAAACAACACAAACCACATTTACAGGCAGGGCCACCCTGGTGGAGAGTACAAGTCATTTGCCCAGGAAGGGGGAGCGTAAGATAATTAGTAACAGCAGGGGCAGAGATTCCAAAGGGTTATGCTTCATTCCTTTGCCACTGCAAAATCTTCCTTTTGCCCAAGAAACATGGCCAATTAATGGACAGCGGGGGGTGGGACTAGGTTAGTACTTGCTGATTTATTTTTAAAGTTCATTTTTATTTTATGAGGTTTATTAGTACCTACTGTAAGGTTTTCTCAGTAACAAGTCTCTTGATATCTCCTCTAACAAAATTGAAAAGAGAAAGTGAAAAATGTGTGCGGTGAGAATTGGGGCTGGGAGTTGGGGAGAGCTGTATATTGTAGGGTGTTCTGGAAATTAGTAAAGACATGAAGAAAAGATTCAGATGACAAAAGGTAAGTTTACTCTAATGGAAGAAGAAAGGAAAAAGGGACTTGTCTTGGGCTGTGTAGGATACAATGAAGTTGTGAGTCCTGTCCTCAGTAGCTTACAGTCCTGGCAGAGAGTGACAGCTCTTCTAATAATAATACCATGGGGCTATGTGGTAAGATCAGTTTATCCCAACCCTAGTTAGAAGTGGAGGAAAAGAATGAAATGTTTCTTAGGGAGTTTGCACTGGGTTTCAGAGGACAGGTAGGAAGTCACTGGCACCCACTGAAGAAAGGGAGTTTTAGGAACCAGGAGCACATCAACAAGACCGTTCCTGAAGAATGCATTGACCAATGTGGGCAGAGTTGGAGCTAAAACTGGAAAAGTAAGCGAGAGCTCCTTCTGAGGGTTCTGAATAACAGGTAGAGCACCTGAGACATTAGCCCATACAGAATCAGAGTCAAAAACCAGAGGTCCACGTGGAGGTTTAACATTTTCTTACACTGAGATAGGAGTTAAGTTATCTGTTTAAAAAGATTCACATAACCTGATCGATGTTCTAGGAAGATTTGTTAACAGATAGCTGAAAATTTCTGAATTTACGTCAACCTGTATATATGAATTCCTTCAAAATGTCACCAACGGTTTTGTACTATGTCCCTATAGAAGGTTAAACAGGTTTGCACCAGCTGCAAACTGAATTGCAGAAATGCTGACTCAGGGGTTTCCAGCGACACCCTTGAGGCGCTATCGTTAAGTAGCAGGCAAATGGCTCCCTGAGCAGGAAAGCCAGCCAAGTCCCTGAAATCCCTCTCTTTCTTGCAGGAACAGCAATGGAAACCTTCCGTGTATGGCAGCATGACGCCTGTCTGCTTCGCAAGCCCTCCGATTGAGAAGCCAATTGGCAAAGTAAGAGTGAGTCCGTTTCTTACTGAACGGTAGGATTCCAGCCGGTGGTCTATTTCTGTCTTGAACTATTGGGGTGAGATCATCAAATTGATCTCATGAAAGTTGCTGATAAAATCCCAAATGTGAACTGTTTGGTTGGCCTTAGTGAAACTTGCCCTAGGCAATGTGTTGAGCCTGAGAAAGAGTGATCCATTTTGCTCTGGCCTGGGCTCCTGTCTGCCTCCGTCCCAATGCTGTCCTCCCTGCTTCCCTTCAATCTTCTGACCTCTAAGCTCTTTGATCCTCCTTCCTCTGCCTCTCAGAACTTGTCACGAGGAAAGAGGATGCTTTTCGTCATTAGTATGAAATTTAGCTACAATACTACCTCTTTCTAAAACTGACTTTTAAACTCTTTTGGATTAAAGACTTAGCCTCTAGAAGTTACAGGTTTCTGCCTGAATTGCTGTTGTCCTGGACCAGCTGTCACAAGCATCAGTCTCACCAGGGAGTGTAGAACCCAGTGGAAAGACTGTGGACTTTCTGGAGCCAGCCTGCCTGGGTTCAAATTCCGACTCTGCCAATCACTGGCTGTGTGACTTTGAACAAGAACATGTTCTTTTATCCCTGTGAAAGAACATCATAATAGTACCTGCCTCGTGGGGCTGTCACAAGGATTAAATCATACAAATCCATGAAAGCAAGGATTTTTTTTTTCTTTTTTTTTTTTTTTAACCAATTTGGTATGTAACCAATCACTCAATGAATTCTACAAATGAATTGAGTGAGTGAATAAATAAAAAGCTAAATAACAAATTTAGAGAAGCCACACTGCCAATTCACCCCATTCAAGAAATGGGAGAAGGGAGTGTTGAGTGTTGTCTTTCGAAAAGAGAAGTGAAACTCCAGTGAGCACAGCAAGCCCACTTTCCAGGTGCACCTTACCAGTCAGGGCCCTCGAGGGTGCCCACCGCACCCTGTCCTTTCCTACCATGGTGCATCTCTGGACCACACACAATCTAACATCTAAGGTGAAACATGGCCATCGCCAGGAAAAGCCAAAAACAAACATGTAAGAGTTCCTTAAGTAGGACTTTCTGTCCAACTTATAGATGTATGTGGGCTGAACCAGACATTTTGCAGTTTTTAAAAGGAAATGAATCCAAAGTATTTTCCTGGCTAATTCCTAGTAATTTTGTCTTGGCTGCAAAACCTGCCAAGGCAGCTGTTTGCAGAGTGTGAAATCCCAAGTGACCAAGAAGCCGCCTGCCTGCGCTGTCAGCAGGGTGATGTTTCGCAGACATGGCGGGGGAGCAGCCCAACTTTCTCGGGACTGTTTCTGTACTTTGTGTTCAGAGAGGTCTGCACTTCCTCTCTGCTGACTCCAGTTCAAAGTGAGAGGAGTGTCACTTGGCCCAAAGACACAATCACCCAACCAACCAGCACAACACACCCTGTACGTCACAAAATGTGTTGGCAACTCTCCAGCAGTCACTGCCTCGCCCCTGCTGCTGTCCCCTCCGGCCCCACATATTTTGACTTTGTTTATATAGACTCTAAGGAGACCACCACTTTGTCTGTGAAGATGGAGAGAAGGCATTTCAAAGGTTGAGGTCAGAAGTCAATAAACCCCTGAGGTGTCTTTTGACTAAATTTCATTTCAATCCAGGACATGGTCCGAGTTTACACACTGGTTTCCTTGACCTGAACAGGAATAGCAGTTAAGAATATTTGGGAGTTACATTTTGGAGTGCTTTTTCAGAGTGGAAGTGAACCTAACAGAGTATGATCATTTGAGTTTCATAGTATTATTTCTTGGTGTGATTATTGGGTCTTCTTCCCTCTTCCACTGTGGCGGAATTAGTGCTTACCTCTTATGGACAGTGTCACCAGGATTGTCTTGGGTTGAGTGGGATCTCTCTTGTTCTCTTTTTTCCGTACCACTGGCTTCTAGGTTTAACATACTTGCTCTGTATTACTCTAGTGAATTCATTTTGCAATCAGCTCTGATAGCCATCCACCTGGGGTGTGGGGGAATGACACCAAAAATATAGGCAGCTGGGACCAGCAGATGGCATTGCGGGGCTGCCACATAGTCAACCATGGTTCGAGTACCAGGCCTGCTGACTTAAAACTCATGCTGGGCACATCTGTGTGCAGTGCCAAGATCCCTAGAGGAGAATGGAGGAGAAGGGATTGTGGCATGGCCATCCCCTCTAGGGAGTGATTTCTCACTTTTTGTCTCTCTCTCTCTCCTGTGAGCACATGTTCCCTATAGCAAAAATTTCTCAAAAATAATTAATTAAATAAAATTAAAAATATAAGTAGTCCACCTTCAATTATAGGGGCCATTATGAGGTGGCATTCTGGGTAGATCACTGAAACCTGTGGTTACTCTTCCCAGAATCCATACTGTCTTCCTCCATGGGGAACTATGCTTGGGTGTAAGGTGGAAAGCCCAGACCTAGGTCACATTTCTACCTGCTGGCTGTGGTGCTGCACTCTGCACCAGGGTCCAGTGTTTGCTTGCTATAGGAGAAGAGAGGGTCTTATGAAAATCCCAGTTAGAAAACAAAGGAGGATTCTAATGTGAGTTCATAATAGGAACAAGAATATTTTGGAGCCAACTCTAACTTTACAACTAAATGATAATTCTTTTCCTTAATAGTTGACATTAGAGGGAGAATAAAGGAGGGAGGAACTCTTGCAGCAGAAAGGGAGAAAGCAGAGAGTTCACTCCAGGCAGCAGGCAAACAAGTCTAGAATATGTGATTATCTACCCTCTGATAAAGAGAAGTGGAGGGTTTTATTTTACATAATTGGAGCCAGCGCCTTTTGCATGGAACATACGAATTTATGTAAATAAGAATGCAAATGTGAAAAATATGTGCCTTGGGATTTCCTGGGGGTAACCTGGCAGCTTTGTCTTCCTTTCCTTTCAGCAGCTAAATATTTGTGTTGGAAGACTCTGAGCCGAACTTACCCACCAAATTCCACAATGTCACAATTAGCAGACTTTTCTTTGTAAGTTATGGGAGATACCCCTATAGGTGTCCCTCTCCTGTGAACACAGGAAGACTTCAGACAGAGTACCTCAGTATATTTGACTGTAAACATGTTACTCCCAAGGGATTGCACGGGCTAACAGTAAATGCCAATCAATAAATTAATGACTTCAATAAATTCATAATAAATTAAGTTAATAAATTATCAATGACCTGAAGTAGACTGTGGAAAGAGAATTAGGCAAAGAGGATGAAGACAAAAGCAGGGATTTAGGAGATAGGTAATGCTAGAGGATGACACAAAATGTCACACAGGCTTTCCCAAATACTCTCCTTGGTGCTGCTGGCAAAGCACTCCACGGATCGCATTAAGTGAAAACGACCCAGTGAAGTGCCATGACTTCAGCAAAACAGTGCAGTCTCTTCCAGATTCACAAGCAGACAGAGCTGATCTGAATTAGGGACTACAGGATTGACCTGCCTTTCTGAAAACAATTTAGGAGACAGGTAAATGTGTCCTTGATCAAAAGAGATGTAACTTGAATGCATTATTTTATTTGACCAGAAGGAAATGGAGAGAAAAATCACTCCGCGGAAGAGTCATGTTATTAAATGGAAGGGTGGCTGAGAAAGCAAACAAGACTCTCTACGCCTTCTCTGTTTCCGAGTGAGTGAAGGGGAAACTGAAGGAGCCAGGTGGAAGTAACTGGATAAACAGTAGATAAAAAGAAAGGAACTGGTGAACTCAGAATCAACAAAATTATAGAGCTGCTTTATTTCAAAGTTGGGAGGTATCCGTGGGAAGCAAAAATAGAGATGTCCTTTTCACAGATTAACCTTACTCCCTTCACCCCTGGAACATCTTTCTCAACAGAAGAATACTTAGTTTAGCAGTTAGGGGTCATTTTAAGAGTTAGTCCTCTAAGTCACCGCCGTTCAAGAATCATGAACATTATATTATTATGCCATGTCTGGGTCTGAATGAACAGCACCAACTCTGTACAACATGCCTCAGACCTTAATATTCATTATTTAGGGCTCTCCGTGACCCAAGAAGATGGAGAAGCCAACCACCAAGTAGTCTGTGGTCTACAGTTGCTTTAAAATAAGTTATGAATGGCAAGATGAGAAGATAATATTTCTTAGCAAAGCAGGCTATTATAATGACTAAAGTGGTAGCTAAACATAATTCTAGCTTTTTGGTGTGTGTGTGTGTGTGTGTGTACTCCGGATTGGGCTGAATTCCTTTCTCTATGTAATTTCTAGTCACTAAGGCAACATGTAGTAAGCTAAGATGATTTTTTTTTCTAGTTTTGTGTGTGTGTGTGTGTGTGTGTGTGTGTGTGTGTGTGAGACAAGGTGAGGAAAACCCTTGGGTTAAGGGGTATCTTTAATTCCTTTAAAAATGTGTGGGGTTGGGACCAGGAGATGGCATAATGATGAAGTCACTGAACTCCTACATGGTCAACCATGGTTTGAGTCCTGGACCCAGTGGCTTCAAACTCACACCAGGCGCATGTGCGTGTGTGCCCAAGATCCCGGGAAGAGAATGAGGGGAAGAGATTACAGTATGGCCATCCCTTCAGGGGGTGATTTCTTACTTTCTGTCACTCTCTGATGAGTGCATGCACCCTATAGCAAAAATATCTCAAAAAACAAACAAACAAAAAAACAAACAAAAAACAACTATGAGAGTTTTAGTTGGTCAAATATCCAGCCAGCTGAAGAGTATAGCTTCCAGTCTCCCAGGCAGCTAGCTGTGGCTCTTTGTTTGGATGATGGCTAATAGCATGTGAGTGGAAATAATATACGCAAGTTACAAATCATGCTCTTCATAGGAACAGCCTGTCACTCTTGCTGACTGGAACATGGATGTGGTTGCAGCAGTCAGAATAGCTCCTTCAGCCAAGAGAGCATGGCAGAGGGACAGCGTCAAAGAGTTGCAGTCTCTGACTCCATAGAACCCTCAGGTGCTTATGCGCCGACAGAAATAAACTTCACCTTGTTTACACCGCTTCT